GTACATGAGCTCCAGGGGAAGGCTTTCTCTCTCTGTCGGCTCTGGAGGAAGGTCCTTCTCGTCAATCTTCCCCTGGCCTAGGAGCGCCTCTGTGCAGGAACCCTGGGTCCAAAGGACACACTCTGCTCCCAGTGCTTCCTGCTCCCAGTGCTTCTTTCTTAGTGGTATGAGGTCCCCATGTCTCTCTGCTTGCTTCTTTCATATCTCAAAAGAGACTGGCTTAAGACATCGTTTAATCATGTAGACCTCATCAATGTAACTGCCACTAATCCACCTCATTACATCATAGTGATAGGATTTACAGTACATAGGGAAATCACATCAGATGACAAAATGGTAGACAATCATACAATACTGGAAATCATGACCTAGCCAAATTGATACACGCACTTTTGGGGGGACACAATTCAATCCGTGACAGATGTCTTCTAAAGAAAACACAGAATATCATCATGACCTTGGAGTAGGCAAAGATTTTTTCAAACAGAACATGGTTTTAACCATGAAAGACTGATAAATTAGGCTTCATTAAAATTTAAAAATTTGGTTCATCCAGAGACTCCACTTGAGAGCAGAAAGGTGACACACAGACTCAGAGAAGATATCTGTAACACATACATCCAACAAAGGACCTGTATCCAAGACATATAAAGAACTCCTAAAATTCAGTAACAAAAGGCAGTAACAAAAATTTCAAAATGGGGAAAACACTTGAACAGGCAGTCGCAAAAGAAGATTTCCAAGTGACCAATATATGAGAAGTCTCCACATCCTACATAGCCAGGGGAATGTAAATTAAACTGACAGGAGATAGCTCTACACGGCCATCAGAGTGGCTAAAATTCAAAACATTGACAGTTCCAAGTGTTGGCAAGGATGTAGAATTGGCATACTCGTGTCGTGCAGGTGGGAGTGAAAACTGGTACAACTACTTTGGAAAATTCTTTGGCATTATCTACTAAAACTAAACAAAAGTATGCTTGTGACCCAGCAATTCCACCCTTGGAATTCCACCTAACAGAAACGAGAGCTTTTGTCCATCAAAAAACACATCACAAGAATGTTGACAGCAGCATTATTCAAGAGAGCCCAAACTCAGAAACCATACTGTCATGGGTTGAATTGTGTGCCCCCCAAAATGATCATGTTGAAGGTTTAGCCCCCTGTGAAACAGGGTCTTCAAAGATGTTATCAGTTAACAGGAGGTCATACTGAAATAGGTCATCCTATCCTATACGATTGGTGTCCATAGAAAAGAAGAAACAGAGAGAGACAGACAGAGGGAGGAACACCACATGAAGATGCACCTATAAGCCAAAGAACACCTGGAGCTCCCAGAAGCTAAAAGAGGGGCATTATAATCAATTGAATTGTATCCCCCAAAAATATGTGTTACAAACCCTACTAAACCTGTAGTTATAATCTCATTTGGGAATAGGGTTTCTTTGTTATGTTAATGAGGCAGCATTAGTGTAAAGTGTATCTTAAATCAATCTCTTTTGAGATATAAAAAGAGCAGATTGAGCAAGCAACCACGCAAGCAAGGAGAGATGGGGGAAGATAGATGCCACGCCACATGGAGATCACCAAGTAACCGAGAAACAGAGACTGAGAAGAGACAAGGACCTAAAGCCCACAGAGAAAGCCTTCCCCTAGAGCTGGCGCCCTGGATTCAAAATTCTCACCTCCTAAACTGTGAGAAAATAAATTTCTGTTTGTTAAAGCCACCCATTTTTGTTATTTCTGTTATAGTAGCACTAGGTAAGTAAGACAGGCACGGAACAGATTCTCCCTCAGAGGCTCAGAAACAATCAACACAGCCAACACCCTGATCTCAGACTCTTAGCCTCCACAACTGAGACAATACATGTCTGTTCTTATTAGCCACCCAGCTAGTAGTATTTTATTATGGTGGCCCTAGGAGACAAACATACCCCCAAATGCCCATCAACAGCAGAACAGATAAGTCCGTTACAGAGTGTCCACACACGGGGCACCACCCACAGAAGACCACCTGCTCTACACACACCACATGTCCATGGATACACCCCACAGACAGGATGCTGAGCCAAAGGACCCAACCCCAAAGAGTACATTCCACCTGATTTCACGTGTGTGAAATCCAAGACAGGTAAGATAAATCTATGGAGGTCAGACCCGTGGTTACCTTGGGGGTGGGGACTCTGACTGACAGGGAGCAAAAGGGAGTCCCGTGGGTGCTGGTCATTTCCACAGTATACTGTGACGCAGGCAGTGGCCACCAGGTGTCCACAAATGTGAAAACTGGGCATTTCAGATTTGCACACGGCACTTAGGAAAGTTTTCCTTCAAGAAAAGAAGTCAATAAATACGATCCCTGTGGGGTTTTTAAGCTTGCCCTTCCTGAGACCTGAGGCCCTCTGGAATTCCCTTCTCTTGGCACCCTCTCGCCTCCCCTCCCACACGGCCGTGCTGAGCAGGGTCAGGAGGGCTGAGTCCACTCATCTTTCTTTTTTTTTCCTTTTTATTGTACTTTAGATGAAGGTTTACAGAACAAACTAGCTTCTTATTAAACAGTACACATACTGTTTTATGACACTGGTTAACAACCTCACGACATGTCAACACTCTCCCTTCTTGACCTTGGGTTCCCTGTCACCAGCTTTCCTGTCCCCTCATGTCTTCTAGTCCTTGTCCCTGGGCTGATGTGCCCCTTTAGTCTCCTTTTGTTTTATGGGGCTGTCTAATCTTTGGATGAAGGGTGAATCTCAGGAGTGACTTCATTACTGAGCTAAAAGAGTGTCCAGGAGCCATACTCTCGGGGTTTCTCCAGTCTCTGTCAGGCCAGTAAGTCTGATTTTTTTTCTTTTTTTTTTTTTTTTTTGTGAGTTAGAGTTTTGTTCTACATTTTTCTCCAGCTCTGTCTGGGACCCTCTATTGTGATCCCTGTCAGAGCAGTCAGTGGTGGTAGCCGGGCACCATCTAGTTGTACTGGACTCAGTCTGGTGGAGGCTGTGGTAGTTGTGGTCCATTAGTCCTTTGGACTAATCTTTCCCTTGTATCTTGTTTTCTTCATTCTCCCTTGCTCCCAAAGAGGTGAGACCAGTGGAGTATCTTAGATGGCTGCTCACAGGCTTTTAAGACCCCAGACAGCACTCACCAACATAGAACATAGAATGCTTTCTTTATAATCTGTGTTATGCCAATTGAGCTAGAAGTCCCCTGAGACCATGGTCCCCACAGCCCTCCACCCAACAATTCAGTCTCTCAGGGAGTCTGGATCTGTCTATGGAGCTTCCACGACCTTTCCTTGTACAAGTTGTGCTGGCTTCCCCAGTATTGTGTACTGTCTCACCCTTCACCAAAGTTATCAGTTATCTACTGGATTATTTAGTGTTCTTCCATCCCCACCCCTCCCATCCCTCACAACCATCATTTACTCACATGTCAATGTACTCGTGACACACACTCAAAACGCTGTGCCACATGGACTGGCCTTGGACATGACCTGCCACAGCAGTCCTTTTCCTCTGGCCACTTGGAGAGGGGTCATGCCTGGCTCCCTTGGCACCGCCTCCTGGGGGCAAGGTCTTGTCCAGGGTGCTTACACTTCAGCTCTCCTCTCTCTCAGGTGTGGCAATGCTCAGCTCACAATGCACACTCATGCACAAGTCCCTGTGTGCGGCCACGGGCCAGGTGTGAGGCTCCTAATGGCAGGTGGCCGTGGAAACGCCACTACAACATGCTCACAGCTCTGCTGCCACCAGTGTCCCCTCTTCCCAGCTGTCCACCCAAGCTTGGCTTTGCAGGACCCTAGGGCCCAAAGCTCTGAAGGGACAGCAGGGGCACAGCTGACTCAAAGAGAGGACCGTAAACTCCTGACTAGCCAGAGGGACATGCTAGAATGTGAAGACACACAGACGGATGCTGTCTTCCAGCCCTGAGTTCAAGAAAGCTCCACTCAGCACCATGCTGAGGGACGCAGAGGGCCACAGGCACAGAACACGCCTGCACCACAGACATGCTTATATATGGACACATATGCATCACAGATACGCCCATACCACAGACACACCCACACCATGGACACACCCACACTGTGGACATGTCCACACCACGGACACATGCACACCAAGGACATGCCCACACCACAGACACGCCCACATCACAGACACACCCACATGGACATACCTACACCACAGACACGCTTATATATGAATACCTGTGCATCACTGCCATGCCCACACCACAGACACGCCCACACCACAGACACGCCCATACTGACACGCCTACACCACGGACACGCCCACACCACGGACACGCCCATACTACTGACACGCCCACACCACGGACATGCCCATGCCATGGACACACCCACACCACAGACACGCCCACACCACGGACATGCCCATACCAAGGACACACCCACATGGACATACCTACACCACAGACATGCTTATATATGGACACATGTGCATCACTGACACGCCCATACCACGGACACGCCCACACCACGGACACGCCCACACCACGGACACGCCCACACCACGGACACGCCCACACCACGGACACGCCCACACCACGGACACACTTATATATGGCCACATGTGCATCACAGACATGCCCACACCACAGACACGCCCACACCCAGACACGCCCACACCACAGACACGCCCACATCACAGACACACCCACATGGACATACCTACACCAGACACGCTTATATATGAACACCTGTGCATCACTGCCATGCCCACACCACAGACACGCCCACACCCAGACACGCCCACACCACGGACATGCCCGTACCATGGACACACCCACACCACAGACCCCCCCACATGGACACACCCACACCACAGACACGCTTATATATGGACACATGTGCATCACAGACACGCCCATACCACGGACACACCCACACCACAGACACGCTCATATCGTGGACACACTCATATCATGGACATGCTCAAACCACGCACACACCCGCATTACACACATGGCCCGCTGCAAGGTCTCACGTGTCTTTTGAAGGATTTCCGAATGTACCCCTGGGCGGTTTTCTGGACCACAGCATAACGTCTGATGCAGTATATGTTCTCTTGGGGCTTAATCACGTTGGCGATCACTTCCACCAGCTTGTTGTGAGGGATGGCGTCATAAGCCCCCGTCACATCCACCTGCGCAATAAGAAAGGTGAAGGCCGCCGAGCACTAGCTTACTTCGAGTGCACACACCTGTGCCCCACCAGGCTCATGTCCCTGTGAGGGGCCTGCTTTCAGAAAACCCCGCGGAGGATTCAGGTGCAGGATTGGGGGACCCTCCGAGCTCCCTGCCAACAGCCCCCGTCTGGGCCACACACACGCACCGGGCCTGAGAGATGCTCTCTGAGTAACCACACCCCCCCAGACTCTAAGGACCCCGAGGAATGGGACCAGTCTGTGTCCCTTTCTCTAGCGGGGGAAGCCAGCCTGTTGCAGATAACCAGGACTGGGAAGCTATCCAAGTACTGGGCCCCGAACCCACTGCAGGTTCCCTTCTCTGAGCCCTGGGCAGGCAGTGGCTGCTGATCCTTCCCCAGAATCAGCAGCACACAGTTTGGGTGGAGCAGACGCGTGGCCCCACTTTTGAGCAACATGCTCTGGCAGCAGGCAGGTGTGTGTGAGGTCACCACCACCCAGAGTGGCCGTTGAGTAAGACCAGATCAACCAAAGCTCCCACCACTGTGAGGCAGACGCCCCATGCCCACCCACTCCGCTGCCAGGAGAAGCCCAGGACGGCGAGTGCCTGCGTGCAAACTTTAGTTAGCTGCCGTTAAGTCGGCCCCAACTCAAGGCTAGCCCATGCACAACAGAATGAAACACAGCCCAGTCCTGCACCATCCCCGTGATCACTTCTGAATCGGACCATTGTGATCCATGGGGTTTGCACCAGCTGGCTTTCAGAAGTAGATCATCCGGCCTTTCTCCCCAGCCCGTCTTAGTCTGGAAGCTCTGCTGAAACCTGTTCAGCATCCTAGCAACACACAAGCCTCCGCCAACAGGCGGGTGGTGGCTGCGCATCAGCTGCATGGGCTGGGAAACAAACCCGGGTCTCCCGCATGGAAGAATCACCAGTGACCTCATGCAGCTGGGAGTCCTGGTGCAAACGGTTATGGTGTTCAGCTGCTAACTGAAAGGCTGGAGGCTGGAGTCCAACCAGAGGTGTCTCATTAGAAAGGCCTGGGGATGCAGACTCTACGGCTCCCCCAGTAAGGGCCATGCCATCATTAGGCGGAATGCGCGGGGGATCTGAAAAAGCCCCACCACTCCCAGTGTTCCCTCCAGGACCAGCGATGTGGCTTCACCACAGGCAGAGAACCTGAGTGGACACATTCATATCATGGACATGCTCAAACCACGCACCAAAAGCCACATCACACGCAGCCAGGAGGCAGGCCCTAGGCCGACTCACCTTGACGAAGTACAGCCGGGGCCCAGGGTCTCGGGCCCGCACCCGCTGCACGAATGCCCGCCAGGCCTTGTACACGTCGTCGATGCCCAGCACAGAGGCCCCCAGCAGGCCCGGCCGCAGGGCCCGCTCGTAGTTAAGCACGCTGAACAGGTTCTTCATCTGTGAGGTGAAATGCTGAGCCTGAAGCCGCTAAAACGAAAAACATGGGATGTATGGTTCAGAACGGGGTCCCTGGAGCCCAGGAGAGGGGACCTCAGGTCAGGCTGCCCCTGTCAAAGGGCCTCAAGGGCGGGAAGAAGTTCCAGGGTTGCCTGGGGGCCCCAACTCTAGCCTCCTCCTCCAGCCTCCCCACGCTCACCTGGCTTGCCTCACAGCTCTAGGAGACCGTAGGAGAGCAATCAAGCTCGGGGCGACCAACCCGTCCAGACCCACCTCTAGGCCCAGGTGCTGGAGGACGCTTCCCGCGATCCCAGCTACACACCTGCCCCTTCTCCACCCCCAGTTCCTTCATGGCACAGACGAGGAGCACACGCTGGCTGCTCTCAGGGAGACCAGGCTCAGTTTCAGGTTCAAGCTCAGAGCTAAGTACAGCATCAGACTCCAACTCACCTCTCACCAGTGCCTGCACCGACCGCTTTGCACACTGCTGTGGGCACATCACCAATGACACCACCTCCCTCAGACGCCACACAGGGGCACTGAGGATGGGCCGGAGCTGCCTGCGAGGCAGTGACGCTGAGGTCACGGACCCTGGGGCATGGTGACAGCCACCTGGACCATGGCGGCCACCTGGGCTCTCTATGCCCATAGCACACCAGAGTCTGCAGAGCGCACTGCGCTACGGCGGGGTCACAGAGTGCTGGGGTCACAAGGCACCGGGGTCACTGGGTGTACTGTGCTTCAACAGGGTCCCAGGAGGCTGGGGTCACAGGGCACAGAGTCACAGGGCAGGAAGAGCTTCTCACTGTGGCCCTCAGCACGTCATGGCATCGCCTGGGACCCGATGCCCTACTGCTCCCTTTCCAGGCCCAGGAGCCACCCCCTCGCCCACCTCTCCGCAGGCTCGCAAGGTGCTGTGGGTGATGGTGGGCCTGCCCCTCGCCATGCCCGCCAGGCCACCCTGCGGCTCCTCATCTAGATCAACCCAACCACGGGGTTCAAACCAACTTTCCTTTAAAACTAGAACAAAGCGCTCACCTTCTTCTCTCTGCGGAAGGTTCTGGCTCCCACGACATAGTCCATGTTTACAATTGGCCGAAGGCCCTGGGGTTTGGGAACGAAGCGCAGCTTGGAGGTCAGAAGAGAAGGCTTGGCCTGCTGGCATCGCTGGACCTCCTCTTCGGATAACTCTCGCAGCCGTACTTTGTTGAAGTGTTGTCTAAAACACAGAGCGTCTCGGTACGCCGTTCGGGGCCGAGCGATACACCGGCAGACAAACTCACAGGACGGTGCAGGACCCCATAAACTCAGCCAGGAGCACAGTCACTCAACCCCCAGGGCTGCGCCGGCGCCATGCTGACACACCCACCACGGACACCTGGGAGCCCCCACCACAGGGAGTCTAGGACAATCACAGATGCCTTGGGGAGCCCCCACTCACAGAGTGCTCAGGTCAATCACAGACACTTCGGGGATCCCCCACCAGCAGGGAGCCCAGGACAACCACAGATGCCTCAGGGAGCACCCACCAACAGGGAGCCCCCAGGACAACCAGTGGGGGCCTAGGTCAATCACAGACACTTCGGGGAGCCTCCACCAGCAGGGAGTCCCCAGGACAATCACAGGCGCCTCAGGGAGCGCCCACCAGCAGGGTGTGCAGGACAATCGGAGCCCCTCTGCAGTACAGACATGGGGTGGCACAGGCCAGGACCCGATGGACCCTCAGCAGAGGGGCCTCACAGGCAGGGACAGAGTTGTCTCCCAGGCCAGCTCCCTCACACCCGTGGCCTCAGCCTTTCCCCTGAAACTGCATGAGGGGCGGCAAGAGGGAGGGCTGGGCCGGCTGCCTGAGCCCATGTGGCACCTGGCCCGTGTGGTTCCCAGCCTGGCCCTGGGTGCTCAAACACCTCCACGGCCACTGGGGGCCGAGGACACTCCCTGGGCCAGTGCCCCTGACTCCAAGTCCAGTCTCATTTCAATAGGTCCAAGAGCAAAGGGAAGCAGGGAGCATCTTTCCCAGAGGAACACCAGGGCAGCCTGTAGCAGGACTCCATGACCACCTGGGCAGTGCCACAGTCTCCAACAGTCCCAGCAGGGCCAGGGTCTCCAGGAACATCATATGCTCCCTGGAAGTGACAAGCAGGGAGTCCTTTCTGTAGTCAAATGGCCACTTGGGACAACATACCATTTACCACGGCCACCAGGGGCCATCAAGTTGACTCCAACCCAAGTGTGTCAGAGTAGAACTGTGCTCCCTAGGGCTTTCAGTGGCTGATGTTTCAGTAGTAGATCGCCAGGTCTTTCTTCTGAGGCACCTCTGGGTAGACTCGAATCTCCTTCCAGTTAGCAGCTCAGCACACTAACCGTTTCGCACCACCCTGGAACTGCTATGCCATTAACCAGTCTTAATTATTAAACGGGGCATGCTGTTATTAAGCCACGTCCACAATGAAAGCCTCTAGACGCTCTCCTGACACAGTAGGAAACAGGCTCAGGCTTGGCTGCACGTGAGGATCTTGGAAAACGCCGGTGGCTCTCCCCACTCCCAGACACACCGCATAAGTAGTCTGGGTGTGACCGGGTGTGGGGACGGAAAAGCTCCCAAGGGGCTGGGGTGTGCAGCAAAGCTGGGGAAGCCCTGACCTCCCGACCCACAGGTCCCCACGAAGTCATCTGGAAAGACCAGCTCAAGGACACCTCAGTCACAGTGTCCCATGTTACCACTTCTATTCCCAGGTTGGAATTCCAACCCAGTTAAAATCTGCCACAATCCTTCACACCAACGAAACAGATTAGCTGAACAATTGAGACAAAATCTAGTAGCCATTTGGAGTCAAATTCAGCCTTCTATGAGTTCACTCTTCAGTTTTTCTCATGGTAGAACACTTCCAGGACAATCACAGCCACGCTGGGGAGAACCCCACCCACAGGTGCTCAGGACAATCACAGACGTCTCGAAACATTTCTTCCTCAGATATTTCCTTCAGTATGTCATCAAATAGTGGGATTTTAATCACCTTATGACGTCAAAAAAATAATAAACCAACCCCCTTGTCTTCAAGTCAATTCCAGGTCATAATGGCCCCAGGTGTTACAGAGTAGAACTGCTCCATAGGGTTTTCTTGGCTGTAGTCTTACACAAGCAGATCACTGGGCCTTTCTTCCACAGTGTCTCCGGGTAGGTTCGAACCACCAACCTTTAGGTTAGTAGTCAAGCACACACTGTTTGCACCAGCCAGGAACCTTACCTTATGACATGAGTTCTACTTATTCTGTGTGAATTAAAGGAGAACCTGACCCATATCTACAGGTTATGACAAAATAGAGCCAGAAAAAAATCACTGGTGCTCTGGTCCTGTTGCTCCATTTCAATATAAATCACGTCAGTTTTAGAGTAGGTTGTGGGTCCACAGACCATCAAATGCACACCTCTGATTCTATAGGTAAGAAAACAGAAGCTCTAAGTGGTCAGGACCCGGAGCCCAGACTCCACCCGGGGTCTCCTGGCTCCCAGCATGGAGCACTGCCCGTCCCCTGTAAAGCAGATGGGGAACACGGGCCGGGGCACACCACTGCGGGGTAAGAATCAGTGCTCTGGTTCCGCAGACACGAAGAAACGGACGATTGAGTCAGCATTTCTCTTCCTGCTCGAACTAGGCTCTGATTATAAATACCTGATTCCAATGCTTTGCAACTTGTTCCAGACGCTTTTCCGGAAGAAAAAAAGCCTGTTCTTCTGAAACATGGTCTCGGTTACGTAGAAAAAGGCCCTGAGCAGCCCAACCACGTAGGTGTCCATCAGCCAGAACAGGAACTTGGCCAAGATCTCTTCTCTCAAACGGTGCTCCGAGGCCGGAACAGCATAATCCCCTGAAACGAGAAAACACTGAAAACCCAACCCAGGCCTGGCGACCTCACCCCTGAGATCCACACTGTCCAGTACTACAACCTCTGGCCGCTTGACACCTGCCGGTCCCTAGGGCTTTCCCGTACACATAATCTACACACCCATCCCGGATGCCAGGCACAGAAAGAGAAAGCCAAGTATCGCATCCGTAACGCTTCTGCTGATTCCACGTTAAAATGATGATACTGTGGATTTACTAGATTTTACTACAATACAGTAAAACCTGCAAAAGCCGGAACCTGTGTAATGCAGAAACCTATCAGAGAAGGAAATCTCAGCTGCTAACCAAAATGTCAGCAGCTCCAATCCGCCAGCCGCTCCTTGGAAACCCTATAAGGCAGTTCTCCTCTGTCCTGCAGGTCACTATGAGTCAGAATGGACTTCATGGCAACGGGTTTGGTTTTGGTTTAATAGAGGGTGGCAGAAAAGCGGTAAGCTGCACCCCATCAAAGGCAGAAAACTTTCAAGACCCCAAAAAACAAGGCAGTCCCATCAAGTGCCGGCTGTCACAGGATTCACTGTAGATTATTAGATTCATTTCAGCTTTTCTTTTTCCTTTTTTTAATGTGACTACTAGAAAATTTGGAGCCCTGGTGCCGTAGTGGTTATGAGTCAGAACTGACTTGATGGCACCTAACAACTAGAAATTTAAAACTGTATTTGCGGCTACTTCTCTTGGACAGTGGTGACTTGGAGCAACATCACTCACCTTGCTTTGTAAGCAGAATGGAGAAAGCAGAAGTGTGATGTTACGAATTTCAGTGTGTCCCCCAAAAAGATATACTGATGTCCTAACCCCTGTACCTGTGAATGAGACCTGTTTGAAGAAGCACGGTCTTTTGCTGGAGATAATATCAGTTAAGTCATACTGAAGTAGGGTGGGTTCCAGCCCTAATCCCTTCGGAGCAGTGTTTTATAATTGAGAAGGACAGACAGGGAAACTGAGTCCCATACAGGGGGAGGTCCATTAACAAGCCAAAGAACTCCACGAAACACCTGGGGCTACAGAAGCTGAATGAGCAAGACCGAAGAATAACTACCGCCTTTGAGCCGTAGTGTTGGTGAAGAATATTGAATATACCACAGACTGCTAAAAGAGCGAACAAATTTGTCTTGGAAAAAGTACAACCAGAATGCTCCTGAGAAGCAAGGATGGCAAGACTCCGTCTCACATACTTTGGACATGTTATCAGGAGGGATCAGTCCTTGGAGAAAGACATCATGCTGGGTAAAGTAGAGGGCCAGCGAAAAAGAGGAAGACCCTCAATGAGATGGATTGACAGTGGCTGCACCAATGGGCTCAAGCATAACAACGATCATGAGGATGGTGCAGGAGCACGCAGCACTGAATTTGGACTTCAGGCCTCCAGAACTGAGACAATAAATATCTGTTCTTTAAAGTCCCCACCAGTGGTATTTCATTACGGCAGCCTCAGGAAATTACGACTCGCGCGTTCTCCAGATGGGTGAAACGCTGTTGGGTGCCGGTGCTACACCACTGCTCTGTACAATTTCAAACTCAGGCACTGCCATGGATCCAGAAAGACCTGGGGCTCTTGAGCCTGAGCAACTCCAACTGAGCAGAGGCTGCTGGCGGCGGTGGTCACACTTTATTTTTTTATTGTGCTTTCAGTGAGAGTTTACAATTCAAGTTAGTCTCTCATACCAAAATTTATACATGCGTTGTTATGTGACCCTAGTTGCTCTCCCTATACTGTGACAGCACACTCCTCCTTTCCACCCTGGATCTTGCGTGTCCATTCAACCAGCTCCTGACCCTCTCTGCCTTCTCATCTTACCTCTGGACAGGAGCTGCCCATTTAGTCTCATGTATCTACTTGAGCTAAGAAGCACACTCCTCACAAGTATCACTTTATGTCTTACAGTCCAGTCTAATCTTTGAAGAGTTCGCTTCGGGACTGGTTTCAGTTTGGGGCTAACAGAGAGTCCAGGGGCCATGTCTTCCGGGGTCCCTCCAGTCTCAGTCAAACCATTAAGTCTGGTCTTTTTACTAGAATTTGAGTTCTGCACCCCAGCGGTCACACTTTAGCTAAGTGAGGCTCCCAACAAGGTGGACACACCACCCATGACCATTTCCCTTTGTAATCCTCTGCATTGGAGCACATTCTGAGAAGGGGTCCAGGGGCTTCACCAGATGGGCACGAGGCCACCACAAGGATAAAACCCGGGGCTCCACCACCACCGACCCCCACAATAGAAATGTGTCAAGGAGAAAGGTGACCCCAGGAGGCAGGTCAGAGATGAAGATGGAACGGTGAGCAAGGAAAACAGAAAAAAGTAGGTGGCAGATGAAACTAAATAAACACTGACCATAGGAAACAACAACAATAACATCTAATCTAGGGGTGAAGAAACCCAAGATGCCATTAAATTAGTAAGAAAAACAGTATATAATTTGGGGTGTGATCAGAATTAAAATATGCTAAGATCCTCATAATGTGCCCTGACAGGCACAATGACTTTGAGGTGACTACTAGCTCTTCATTCAACTGGGGAGACGCCATCCTGTTAACTCCTGCATTACAGAGAAGCAGCTTAGGAGACGGGGCCAAGATGATGGAGTAGTCAGACACCTCCGGTTGTCCCTCTTACAACAAAGACCCGAAAAAACAAGTGGATTGATTATATATGACAATCTAGGGGCCCTGAACATCAAAGGCAAAGTTGAGGAATCGGACTGAGCAGCAGGGGGAGGGAGAGATGGTTCAGAAGCAGTGAGGAGTTGCTGGACCTGACCTGGCCAGCACCAGCACCCTGTGGCTGGATCCGATGGCACATGCAGTGAAGCAAGCAGTGGCACTCGGGATGTGTTTTCCACATCGGAAGAGACCAAGTGGCAGAGTCTGCTCAAGCCTCCAGAACCAGAGAGAAACAGCACGCAACTGGTGAAAGATAAGTACAAGCATCTAACCTACCATGTGGATCAAAAAAAAAAAAAAAAAACCCTTTTTGGGAAGTGTCTCTCTCCCATTTTCCTGCCCCCTCCTCATTCTGCTTCAGGTCCCAGTCTGCTTCAGTGATTGCCACATACCCTGGGCTGGAAGTAGGACCTGTCGCGTGCCCTGAGCCATTCTCCCAGTTTTGGAGAGGTAACAAATTACCAAATAAAAAAATAATCTGCCAGCTCCCCTAAGCCAGGAACTCAGGGAAGGGACAGTCCCTTTGCCTAGGGACAGGCATAAGGGGTCCATGGACTTTGAATGCGTTTCACTCCAGCACAGACCTGTGTGGTCCATTTCAACAGCGTAGGCCCTCATTAGCACAGTACAACAGGGTATATACCTGATGCGTATTTCAACTCTATCAGCTATAAGGGGAAGCGGCAGATTCATGACATTTGACACCGCCCTGCCTATTAAGTAGGGTCCTCACATACCTACATCAAGGGCCTGAGGACTGGTGGCTCCACTCACTCCACTGAGCCACCCACGACAGGGGTCTAAGAATAAGTGATGACTCCCAGTCCTAACAGCCAACAGCATTGGGTGCCCAAAGTCTGGCTGCAAAAACCCACCACGCTCTAGGAAACAGGGACACGCTTTCCTCCCATACACTCAGGGGCAGCCATCAGCCCTGTCTTGCTCAGCACATGACCCCCTACTGCAGCCAGATACCTGTGCCCACTCCAATTACCCCTGCTCATCTAGGACTGTAGGTGAGAGCCTGCACCACGCACTCAGTGACCAATGACCTGGACACCTGAGCTGAATCCACACAAGAAAAGTAAACGTACTCTTGGGCTCACATACCTAGTAACAGCTCTAGCCACCTGGAGACAGGACGTGAGAGCTTCAAAGATGCCAATAATCAAACTAGCTCACATAAGCAGCCTATTTAGGCACATCAAAACTAAGCAAAACAAGAAGCTAGGACACAGTAAGCAAACATTAAATAAATATAAAAAGTTATTGACGTCTCAGAGACAATAGTCTATATCAAATCACATAAAGAGGCAGACCATGATGGCTTCAGCAGGCCACCAAAACAAAGAATCAAGAAACCTTCCAGAGGAAGAGAACTTCTTGGAATTACCGGAGGTAGAATTCAAAAGATTAATATACAGAATTTTTCAAGAGATCAGGAAGGAGATCAGGCAAAATGGAGAACAATCCAAGGTACACACAGACAAAGCAATAGAGGAACTTAAGCTTATACAAGAGCATAATGACAAATTTAACTGGCTGCAAGAATCCATAGAGAGAGAGCAAACAGAAATCCAAAAGATTAATAATAAAATTTCAGAATTAGACAACTCAATAGAAAGTCATAGGAGCAGAATTGAGGCAATGGAAGTCAGAATTCGTTAGATTGAAGATAAAGCACTTGATACCAACTTATTTGAGGAAAAATCAGATAAAAGAATTTAAAAAAATGAAGAAACCCTGAGAATTATGTGAGACTCTATCAAGAGGAATAACCTACAAGTGGCTGGAGTACCAGAAAGGTGGATAACAAAAAATACAGAGAACATTCTTGAAGATTTTTTGGCAGAAAACCTCCCTAACATCATGAAAGATGAGAAGATATCTATCCAAGAAGCTCACCGAACCCCACACAAGGTGGATCCCAAAAGAAAGTCATCAAGACATATTATAATCAAACTTGCCAAAACAAAAGATAAAGAGAGAATTTTAAGAGCAGCTAGGGACAAACAAAAAGTCATTTACAAAGGAGAACCAGTAAGAATAAGCTAGGACTGCTCAGCAGAAACCATGCAGGCAAGAAGGCAATGGGATGACATATATAAAGCCTTGAAGGAAAAACAATTGCCAGGCAAGAATTATATATCCAGCAAAACTGTCTCTCAAATATGATGGTGAAATTAGGGCATTTCCAGATAAACAGAAGTTTAGGGACTTTGTTAAAACCAAACCAAAATTACATGAAATACTAAAGGAAGTCCTCAAGTTAGAAAATCAGTAACATCAGTAACAACCCAAGACTAGAACACAGGACACAGCAACCAGATATCAACCCAGACAGGGAAGTCACAAAAATAAATCAAAGCTAAAAACACTGAAAATAGGGAAACAGGTATGTCAATATGTAAAAGATGACAACATTAAAACAAAAAAGAGGAACTAAATAATGTACTCATAGATCTTTCATATGGAGAGGAAGTCAAGGTGATATAAAGAAACAAAAGACTGGTTTTAACTTAGAAAAATAGGAGTAAATATTAAGGTAACTACAAAGCAAACTAACAATCCTACACGACAAAATAAAAAACAAAAACAAAGACTCAGAGGAGCAGCTTATTTGGAAATGTGGGAAATGGCTGCATCTGGAATAACAATCCTGGGAGGTAGGACTATTGCTTTTGTTAAGTGCCATCGAGTGGATTTTGACTCATAGCAACCACATATGACAGAGTAGAACTGTCCTACAAATTCTCCTGTAACAAAAATACGTGGCTTTCTGGAGCCATGGAGGTTGGATGAACCCCTGAAGCTACTGCCCCGAGATAATCTTCAAGTATTAAACAAAATATCCCCCTGAAGTCTTCTTAAAACCAAACAAGAGTTTAGCTGCATAAAGACTGTGTGCTTTGAGCACTGTACTCTTTTAAGAACTATCTGTGTGGGATCCATGGTGGCGCAGTGGTTAAAAAGGTCAGCTGTGAACCAAAAGGTCAGCAGTTCAAATCCACCAGGCGCTCCTCGGAAACCCTATGAGGCAGTTCTACCCTGTCCTATAGGGTCGCTATGAGTCAGAATTGACTCAATGGCAAAGGGTTTGGTTTTGCTTTTTTATATGGGATCAAACAGACAACAGCAACTCGAAAGATTACATAGGAACCTTACGGGGCAGTGAGTTTATGTTAATGGGGGAGGAACAACTCAGAAAAGGAGGGTGAGAATGGCTACACAACTCAAGGGATATAATCAACATCACTGAATTGTACGTGTAGAAAACTACCGAACTGGTTATGTTTTGCTGTGTATGTTCTCAACAATAAAATTAAAAAAAAGAGAGAACCAAAAAAAAAAAGTATTGTGGGAAGGTCACCCTGGCTGTCCACTCACCTGGCCCCCAGGATCTCTCAGGGACCCTAAGGGACACCTGGCCCCACCTTGGGCCGCTTCAGTTGGATTTCAGTTGGGATCTTTGGGGGTGCGACCTGGGTATTTTCTAAGCCCCCTCACCCAAGTGATTCCCATGTGCAGCCAGGGTTGCCAAACGCCCCCACCAGTATTTCAAATACCAGCAGGGTCACCCATGGCGGACAGGTTTCAGTGCAGCATCCAGACTAAGACAGACTAGGAAGAAAGGATTGGTGATCAACTTCCAAAAAATCACCCAATGAAAACCCTAAGGCTCACAACAGAACCCAACTCGCTTGCTTTGGACACACCATCCAAGAGGGATCAGCGGCTGGAAGAGGACATCACGTTTGGTGAACTAGAAGGTCAGCAAGGGCGATGGAGACCCTCGGTGAGACGGATTGGCACAGTAGCCGCAATGATGGACTCAAACATACCGATGATGATGAAGACGGCACAGGACTGGGCAACATTTCGTTCTCTTGCACAGGTGGTCACCATAAGTTAGAGTCAACTTGTCAGCAGCCGTCTACCTGTGAAGTCTTATTAAACACCTCGGGGGTCTTTAGGGGAGATCAGACGGCAAAACATGACCGAGGTCAGTTTTCACTGTTGCGCCCGCACCACAGCAGGCAGGGAAGGCTGGTGCAGACACAAACTTGGGATGCCCTGTCCCCAAGCAGGCATGCTTTCCACCCCTGGTGAAGGTGTGCTAACTGGGGGTTGGCAGGAGGGAAGGCTGAATGGGGGCTGGCAGAAGATGCCTTAAAACCAAGCCCAGAACATCAAAGGGCAGGAATACCCCAGGGCCCAGCTGCCCAGAAAACGGACAGCGACCAACCAGGCCCCAAGCACCCACGAGCAGCTGCCCCGACTTCTGTGCAGCCAGTGAGCACCCTGTCGCTGTCCTCTGCTCCCTTGTGACCCTTCTCTTACTGAAGGATGGCACTGGGGCAGTTCAAGGAACAGCCCTTTCATCCTTCCTTCCTCTGCCCCGGCCTGGCCTGGCACAGCAGACGCACAATGAAACCTAAATACAAATGAGTGCACCACGGGCTAACAGATGCCTCCGTGAAACGCAGGAGCCTCATCTCCCAGGAAAAGGGGCTTTTCTTCCCAACAGACTCCTTTTCATCAGCGTTTAACCCCGTTTTGAGGCAAAAAACTGTGAAGTCAAGAAGAGGATTAGGAATAACCTGCCTACACCCTCATGAGAGTTTCTGGATACTTCTACGGTATTGTTGGCAATCCCACCCCACTGCCTCTCCCATTCCGCCTGTTCACTGCTGTCCTCGGTGCCTAGGACCGTGCCTAGATCCACGAAAGGGTGAGCGCTATTCTTGCAGATGTACAAAAGCTGGATGGAGAGGGAGAGAAAGCAGATGGAATACACGCACCAGGCTAACGGGGAAGCAATGTGTGTAGAGAGCAAGGTAAGGAGGGCTGAGGTTTCAGGTCACCTGACCACTCACTTTCTGACTCCCTACGGTGTTCAGTTACAAGCCTGTACTGTCAAGTCGCCATGAACCATCTCACCTGGGTGCACTGTCTCAGCTGGGCACACTTCCTCACCTGGGTGCACCTGCTCGTCTCTCCTCACCTGGGTGCACCTCCTCACGTGGGTGCACCTGCTCGTCTCTCCTCACCTGGGTGCACCTCCTCACGTGGGTGCACCTGCTCGTCTCTCCTCACCTGGGTGCACCTCCTCACGTGGGTGCACCTGCTCGTCTCTCCTCACCTGGGTGCACCTCCTCACGTGGGTGCACCTGCTCGTCTCTCCTCACCTGGGTGCACCTCCTCACGTGGGTGCACCTGCTCGTCTCTCCTCACCTGGGTGCACCTCCTCACGTGGGTGCACCTGCTTGTCTCTCCTCACCTGGACTCCGCTGCAGCCACTCACAGTCCTGCACTTTCATCTTCCACATCAGCTCCTGCAGGGAGAGCTTGGCGTGCTTCCCCAGAGACATGAATGTCTTCACATTCCTGAGGAAGCGGCACTTGTTGTGGCTGGAGCCCCAGAGGCCGCGGGGCACCAGCCGGTGAAGACACGCCCGCACAAACGTGTACACATGCCAGGGGCTGCTGTGCTGGCGGAGCAGCTGGACCACGCACCGCAGGCCAGTGTCCTCCTCGGGGGCAGCCGACACCGCAGGCCCCGGGGGCTGTTCCGGGGTCCCAGTACTCGCCCCGCCGGGACCTGCAGGAGTGGCCATGGCCGAACCCAGCCTCGGACAGTGCGTCCTGAGGAGCGCGCCGTAGGGGCACCGCGCGTGGTTCTCAAGCAGCTCCTGGAACAGGGGCCGCATTCGCCAATAGCGCGGGGTCAGGCGCCGAGGCGGCTTCCTCCTCCACGCCGGCTTGGCGCGCAAGAAGATAGTCTCCACGAGCCTGCGGGCCCCAGTCAGACTGCCCTGCAGGGAGCTGAGGAGGAAGGTGCTGGGCAGCCGCTCCTTGGCCCCCGGGCAGTAGAGGAGACGCTTGGTCTCCACGTATGCCTGGGGAAGCAGTGACAGTAGCGCCTGGGTGGATGAGGGGCCAGCCCCACCCTCCTTGACCCCCAGCGTGGAAGAACGAAGAGTTCCAGAAGACTCGCCCTCCGAAGACATGGCTCTCCGGCGAGGAGTCACTGCTGGGGGATAGTTGTCACTCTGCCCACGTGCCCTACCCTGGTGGGCCCAGGACTGTGGTACTTGCCCTGGCTCCAGGGCTACGCTGTGCCTGGGCCTCTTGGCCAACGGGTGCAGCTCGCCCGCGCTGTGCCTACGCCGCTTCGTGCCCCCCACGGTTCCGCGCGGGGTTCCACAGCCCGGGCCCGGCCCGCTGGCGTCCCGGACGCAGAGCTCGTAGAGCGGTGGCCCGCACACCTGGTAGGCACAGCTCGGGGCCACCAGCAGGTAGAGCGCGCAGCGCGCCAGCAGGTGGGCCAGCACGTCGTCGCCCACGCGCTGCAGCAGAAGCCCCCAGGCGCCGCTGCCGCGCAGCGTATCAGTGACCGTGTTGGGCAGGTAGCTGCGCACGCTCGTCGTGAAGGCCATGGGCGGCCCGCCGCGGGCCTCGTCCAGCAGCGCGAAGCCGAAGGCCAGCACGTTCCTCGCGCCGCGTTCGCAGAGCCGCTGCACGACCCTGGCCACCAGCTCCTTCAGGCAAGACACCTTGGGGAGAAAGAGGAGCGCCTGAGTCGCGGTGGAGCACCGGGACTGCCGCGGTCCCCTCTGCGTGACGTCCAGGGCGCAGAGCCCCGCCCTCCCTGTCCCCAGGAGGCCCACCTGGCGGAAGGAAGGGGCCGTGGGGGGCGGTGGCGCGCCCCAGGGCACACACACCAGGCACTGGGCCACCAGCGCGCGGAAGGCCGCAGGGTCCCCGCGCCGCACCAGCCGCCTGTCCTCGGCCCCCAGGCGCTGTGCGAATGTCGCCAGTGGCAGCACCTCGCGGTAGCGGCTGCGTAGCAGGGCGCGCACGGCCCGGCAACGGGGTGCGCGCGGCATCCCAGGGAAGAGAGCGGGCGGGGGACCGGGACGGCTGCGTCCCACGCACTCCTAGCTGCTCCCACGGGGGTAAGAGTCGCAGGCTCCGGCACGCGCCGCGGAAAAGGGGCGGGGCCCGGAGCGAGGGGGCGGGGCAGGGGTGGGTTCCGGGAGGAGGAAGAGGAGCCGTTTCCTGCGCGCGCCGCGGGGGATGGGGCGGGGTCCGGGGGGAGGGGGCGGTGCCCGGAGCCGGGGGGGCGGAGTCTGGGGCGAGGGTGTCGGGTGGGTTCTGCTGGGGCGGGGTTATCTCCAGAGGAGGTGGCTGAACACAGGTCTGAGGTGGGCAGGCCCTGGGCTGGGCGGGCTGGGAACCGAGTAGGCGGGTCCTCGCCCAGATCACCTTTCCCTCTGACCTGCGGAGTGGCAGTACTTTCTGCTGTTTGCGCTTTGGTATCCACGAGGACCCAGCACAGAAATGTTTAGGGACGTGCGCTGGATCGTGCCGCTGCTCTAGGTGGTCCTGGCCGCAGTCTCCACCCAGGGGCGGGCAGCAACCACTCCAAGGCCAGTGCCTCGTCCAGGGGAAGCAGCGAGGGCCACACTGTGGAGAGGGCCTTAGTCAGCCAAGGCCCCCGGCGCTCCCTGAGGGTGAGGCAAGGTCGGGCTGGGGTCCCTGGGGGACTTTGGTGCCTTCTTCTCCCGCTGGGGGACAGGGGCCTTGTGCTTCGTCACTTTTTCAAATGAGCTCGTGAATGAGCCCGGGGGATGGCTGCTGGGGTTTGGATGGAGAGGGGTCTGGAAGGAGCAGGGCTGCGCGTCCACCAGCACCTGCGAATGTTACATTGAAGATGGGAGAAGGGCAACGTCAAAGCCCACACTCACTTCGGAGGGTAGAAAGGCCCTGGGAACACAACAGGATGACACCAGGAGGGCCGGGCGGATGCTTCCAGAATGCTCTCTCCTGGCCTGAGGGAGTGCAGGCCCTGCCTCTCCAGGGAACTTGGTTTCCTTGAGTCCTCCTCACCCATACCTACTCTTGGCCATATTTTCTCTTTTCTGGTTCTTAGACTTCTTTTCAGAGCCCTGGTGGCACAGGGTTAAGTGCTCAGCTGCTAACCAAAAGGTTTGGTGGTTCAAACCCACCAGCTGCTCAGCGGGAGAAAGATGTGGCAGTCTGCTTCCATAAAGATACAGCCTTGGAAACCCTATGGGGCAGTTCTACTCTGTCCTGTAGGGCCGCTGTGAGTCAGAATCCACTCAACAGCAATGGATTTGGAGGGGAAGGAAGCTTCTTTTCGGTACTGACAGTAAACACCCCAGGTCGGCTCCCTGTTAATAACCCTGGGGAGTGGGTCCCATGAAAGGTCAGAAGGAAAAAAGTGGAACCCCATGTTCCCTGTAGAGCACTTGACCCCCACACAGTGCCACACACATGCAATGATGATTCACTCACACCCAAGAGCCACAGACTGCCCCCCGTCGACCCAGAGCACAGAGCTGGAGGTTCCATCAGACAGGTCAAGGGACCTCAGTAAAGCTACGCAGCTGCTGGAGAAAATGGCCCAGACCTTCTGACTTCACACCCATGCACAGAGACCTGCTGCTGGCCATGTAACCCCCTCTGCAGAAGTGGGATAGCAGGCTTGACAGTGTCTCATTGTATCAGCACCTCCTTCCCACAGAACAGGTTAGGGGCGCAATGAGATTCTGTCCAAACCTAGACTTCACGGGGTGTTCAAGTTTGAATCGCTAAGGAACAGGAAACCTTCTGGGTCTCCGGAGGCCTCGTGGGGATGATAGACATGAGTTGGGTCCACACTAAAACGCTGAACAAATGTAACCTTTTGCTGTGTTAGGAAACTCGGAGGGAAAATTGCTTTTTATTTGTGGACGTAGCATTTAAACAGCATCGGCCGCCTCCCTTGACACAATGGTTTTTCATATTTATCACACTCACTGGGTTGTCTGCGGCAGTCTTGTAAATACTCAGGATTAGAGGCTATTTTAGAAATTCCGTTTAGTGAGCACGGCAAAAGTGCTTTTTAAGGGCTGTGTTTGACAACTGCTCATTTCTGCCACTAGAGGATTTGGCACTGTTTGAAAATTTGTTCTTTTCTGACAAAGAAGTTACTCCGTGGCTCACCCAGAAAATCTTCAGCAATTAAGACTAGAAGACCCAGCATTAGAACACATAATTACTTTTTTAAATATATGAATAGAAGAAACCGAGGCCGAAAAGTACACCCACGGGATAAATACCATGTCATTTGTGAGAAAGCTTGTCCCAGCTTCAACTGGAAATTGGTAATATCCAGAATAATGTTGTTGTTAGGAGCCATCGAATCAGTTCCAACTCACAGCGACCCTGTGTGCAACAGAACTAAACACCAATGGGTCCCACGCCATCCTCACGATCGTTGTTACGCTTGAGCCCATTGTTGCAGCCCCTGTGTCAATCCATCTTGTTGAGGGTCTTCCTCTTTTTTCCCTGACTCTCTCATAAGTGTCTTATACAAATACCATATATGAGTGGCTTTGACAAACAAATTTATTTTCTCACAGTTCTGGAGTCTTCAAGTCCGAATTCAGGGTGCCAGCTCTAGGGGAAGGCTTTCTTTCTCTGTCGGCTCTGGAGGAAGGTCCTTGTCTCTTCTGAGCTTCTGCTCCTGGACAGTCTTCTTGTGGCTTGGCATCTCTCTTCCCCCATCTCTGCTTCTTAGCTTGCTTGTTTAATCTGTTTTCTGTCTCAAGAGAGATTGACTCGGGATACACCCTACACTAATCATGTCTCAATAACATAACAAAGACAGCCCATTCCCAAATGGGATTATAACCATAGACGTGTTGCTGTTGTTAGGTGCCTCCAGGTGGTTCTGACTCATAGTGACCCTATAGGACAGAGAAGAACTGCCCCATAGGGTTTCCAAGGAACAGCTGGTGGATTTGAACTGCCGACCTTTTGGTTAGCAGCTTAGCTCTTAACCACTGCGCCACCAGGGCTCCAACCACAGGCATAGAGGTTAGGATTTACAACACACATTTTTGGGGGACATCATTCAAGCCATAACATCAAGCATGATGTTCTTCTCTAGGGATTGGTCCCTCCTGATAACATATTCAATATTCTTTGCCAATACCATAATCCGAAGGCATCAATTCTTCTTTGGTCTTTCTTATTCATTGTCCAGCTTTCTCATGCTTATGAGGCGATTGAAAATACCATGGCTTTGGTCAGGCGCACCTTCGTCCTCAAAGTGACATCTTTGCTTTCCCCCCTCCCACCCTAACCCCTCCCATCCCTGGTAACCAACAAAGATTGTTACTTTTTGTGTGTAAACTTTTTCGTGGCTTTTTACAATAGAGGTCTCATACAATATTTGTCCTTTTGTGATTGACTTATTTCACTCAGCATAATGTCCTCCAGTTTCAT